CGCTACACTTAATGAATTTGGTGTAGATGATAAGCTGATAAATTTAATTAAACAGTCCCTTACAAATACTAAATCTAAAGTAAAATTCCTTGGAGAAATTTCTGAGCCATTCGAAATCAAAACTGGAGTTCGGCAAGGAGATGGTCTCTCACCCATACTCTTTAACTGTGTGCTAGAAAAGATCATTCGAGAATGGGAAAAAGCATTACAAGAAGCTGGGATAAATAATCAAATTAAATTAGGAACCAAACACAAAGGAGTAAAAATCAACGGCTTGGCTTTTGCAGATGATTTCGCGGCCTTGGCTAAGGATGTGAACTCAGCCATCACCCAAATTAACCTCCTAGGAAAAATTGCGAAGAAAGCAGGTTTACAAATCTCTACGTCCAAAACAGAGTACATAACAAATATTTCAGGTGCCCCAAAATCACTAAAAACGGATTTTGGAGAAATTAACAAAGTATCAAAATTTAAATATCTTGGAGAAATTATTGAAACAAATGGGTTGTCTAAAGCAGCAAATTGTGCCAGGACACGGAAGTTGGAAATTGCCTATCAACTTTCCAAAGACATTTACAACAAAAAATCAATCTCCATTAATGCAAAAACTAGACATTATAATGCAGTGATAAAACCGCAAGCACTTTATGCAGCAGAAGGTATTGCTACTCTTAAAATGGGAGAAATAGAAAATATGGAGAAAAAAGAGAGGAAGATCCTTCGGAAAATTCTGGGGCCAAAATTAGATGAACATGGTAACTACGTGCTAAGGAGCAATAAAGAGCTTTATCAAAAAATCCCAAGACTCTCGGATACAATTCGGAGAAGGCGAGTAAGCTTCTTGGGGCATATAAAGAGAATGGGGGAAAATAGGCTAACGAAACAAATTTTTATGTATTTCAACAACCTAAAGAATAAGAATCAATGGATCAATGACACTCAAAAAGACATGGCAGAAATGGGCATATTGGAAGAAGATATCCAGAACAGGGAAAGGTTTAGAAACAAAATAAAGAACTTCAAGGGTTTTCAGGAAAAGGAAAATAACAGACGTGGGAGACTCTTCACTCAGGAGCAAAGACAACAGCAGAGCGAGAGAATGAAGCGGTATTGGAAAGAAAGGAAGAAGAACAAAGGGAAGGGAAGAGGGAAAAGCAAGTCATAGTTATTTGTTTGTACGTGGTCCAAAGATGGCCGGAATCGACACAAGAAGAAGAATTCTGGAAAAATGATTATAAATAAATAACAGAAATTTGGAAGATTATCTGGGTAGTAATAGGAAAAGTTTTCAGTTTCATAAATACGGTAATAATACTTACACCAAATATTTTAAGAAAGCAAATTTTAAAAGAAAATAGAACTAACTGTAGTGGAACTGGATGTGCCATTGTTATAATCTGGAGTAGAAATTATTTTCATCTCAAGTAACTAAAACACCAGTGGCATGCGGTGACATTTGATGATAGGGAGGCTGTGCTGGCCATGGATAGAATCAATGGAAGCATTATATGATATTTTGGTGTGTAGCATTCACGAGCTAAACCACCTGATGTTGATGCTATGTAAAGTGCATGTACGAATGCCTGTGATCTGGCTGCTTTACATGATTCAGATATTTTTGCCGTGGAAGCTGTCCTGTATTCGACAATACAGCAGTTCCATTAGGAATATGTATACAGATAGATAGATAGATAGATATTTTATTGTAACTTACTGGAGTACAGTAAATACTGGGTGCCACAAATGTATAACCCAGTTAGACATGGTACTAGATACATAGTAGTACATGGATACATAATATGAGTGAGATGATATAAAGTAAAAAAAATAATAATAAGAGGAATATGTATACAGTCAACCCCCCATAACATGGTAGATATGTTTCATTCTTTATGAAATTGATGTTCTACAAGTTCTTAAATACATGAGCCAATCACAGCCTGGCACGTATGCAGTTTACGGACTACGGCTGTTTGAAAGGTTTTCTTCCATAAAATTAATCAATTCTAGACTAATCCGACTCAACATTTCAAAAATACATTCATTCATTCATTATTTTATTGTACATATATAATATATATATACAGACTGGTCCCGCTTTGGTGCATTACCGGTTGTACACAAAGAAATTACAATGCCTAGGTATAGATGTTGTACACATAACTCTAATGATGAAGAATTAAAAGAACATAAGAAATAAAATACATAAAATAGTACATCAATAACATGAAAATCAAAATAAAAACAAAACAAGTTAACTGATCTATATACAACTATGTACAAATTTATGACAAGCTGCTGTTAGTATTGAAAAACATGTAAAGTTCACCATTATTATCAAATATATATACTCAAAAAATACATATAATTTTTTGGGAATAATCCATATAAACTAAGCTATAAAAAAAAAATTGTAGGATTATTTACCGAGCGTGCACTGTTTGATGACGCCATCGTTTAAGCTTGTTTTTGTCATGGAGCAGTGCATCGAATGGCGCTCGCGTGCTTCCTGATAAATTATTTTTCTGCGAAAACTTTGCTGAACTTTGGAGGCATTATTAATATAAATATAATTTTTGTGGATGCTAAATAATAAATGGTTTTTAGTAGGCCTGCTGCTCGTTTAAACTCAGTGGTTTGTACAATATCTGCTATTGGTCTAGATTCGAGCAATCCTGTCGTGACATGAGTCGGCAATGACGTTATACTGAATTATACGCGTCTCTTTTAGCGTGTTTATACAAATATGGTCGCAATTTTTTCACCATCATATAGGAATCCAAACTATAATAACCCGTGTTATAGGGGGACTACTGTATATGAATTTATATTCAAATATACAATAGCAATCTTATCTTTGTTTTTTATATGTATAGAAATTTATAAGAAGATACATAATGTGGTTACAACAAAATATTAATTTTAATTAATTCAAAGTATGTTAAAATATGAAAATGATTGCACAATATGTATTTATGTTTTAGAAAATGCAAGGGAAGCGGTGCTTCTGAAGCTTCCATAGACTTGACATGAATCTTGTATGCCACTGTAAAACACGAAAGTAATTACAAAGTACTTAATAAAAATATAAGTACTATCAAAATATATGAGGAATTACAATGAAATTTTAAATCAAAATATGCTGTAAGTACTTGATTTTCTCATTTAAATCTTTAAAGCGATAGAGAAATAATCGTGACACTTTTGGTTTGTTGGAGGGCATTATTAGATTTGATGATTGTCACAATCATGATACATTAAGATTCAAACTTAGAAAGGTTGAAGTAGACAATCTTTTGCAACCTCACCAAAACCACCAAACCTGAAAAATTTGCAAAATTTTTCATGTGCTATCGTGTTTTGGTAACATATTATATACACACTTTAAAAATCCAATGAATTATCTTTATGAAACACGAGAAAAATATTTATGTATACATAGATTTCTTAGTATATACAGGGTGTTTCAAAAATGGCTTTACAGCTTGAGGGTGAGATATTGGTGAACTGATAGAAGAGAGAGATAATTTTAGAACATTGATATGTAGTCAAACACTTCAATTTTTATGCCCAATGGTTTTTTTATGGTTCAGTGTGATTTCCATTTGTTATGCAGCAGACATCACATCTGTAGTTAATTTCTTCTTCTACACAGAGTGCAGCATGTCTAATGTCATTGAGCAACTACAGTGGTAATTTGAGTTCAAGTTCGGTCACATTTGGAAATAAGGATGGCACATACACTCGATCTTTAACAAATCCACACAAGAAAATAAATTTAAATGTGTTAGATCTGAGGAATGAGATGGCCATGGCACACAGAACATCCAGTTTCAACAAAATTCCTGTGCTACAAGTAAATTGTAGGGCTATAGTGGTTCCTTGCAATACTTAGGATGGAAATTCCCTTGAACTTGTGTAGCAGACTTTCTTTGAACCAAAATACACAATAAGTTTGCTATGCACCACTGAAAGCAGCCATCTTGATTTGGGCTGATCATACTGTAGTGGAAGTTTTCAGTGCAAAAGTTTATATAATTGAAACTTGATGTGTATGGCTAAATTTGTGCATTTATAAATATACTGTGCACATTCTTTGAATAAATTTTTATTCTCAAAGTATGTACGGATTTATATTGCAGAGATAGGTGTTCCTTGAAATAGGATGTTTGTTTGCTTATTGCATTTTTATTTTGTATTGCTGTAGTCAATAAAATTATATTCTATTAAGGTAAAATATACAACTCTGTGAAGTTGTTGGATATTCAGTTTTTAAGGTGAACCCTGGGTTGTGCGCTGGACAAAAGTTGTTGGCATGTTACAGGTTTCTATGCACGAGCGAAGGATTCTTTGTGTTTTTGCAAAAAGTTTTGTGAACCATGTATTTACATTTGTTTACTGGATGCTCATCTTCTTGTGTTTAAAAATAAAAGTATTTTATCTGGGTTGTTTGAATCATTCTTGTGTATTGTCAGGAGTAAAGATGAATAGCAATAGGAAAAGCTTTTGAATTGAATTCCAAATTGAAATACCAAAATTGCACAGGTTCATGATATAAGTTTTAATCTATTCCCATGTGAAAACAGATGATTATTCAGAAATCAGAATTCGGAGAAACTCATAAGTGTAATTGGCATAGAGTGGATTTGACTGTTAAGAATTGGAAAAAAGGTTCCTGATTGTCCAACTTTACATCAACAAATTATGCTGTCAATTTTATAAGGTTCTTCCTTAAAGTTTATAATGCCAGTAATTTTTGCAGAACAATGTGTGTTTTTATTGCATTTGATAATATAATTCGTGATTAAACAAAATAAAATTAGAATTGTCTTAATAAATTTTCTTTATTTTGATCTTTAAAGTCACACCTCATCCTATATGCGAGATTGCCTTATACGCGAGTAAATATGGTATATGATATTTTTTAATATGTATTTCTTTATATAAGAATATATTTATATACAGTTATTTCAGATTTAATTATATATTTGGTAATTCAGTTACAGAAAGAATTTGAAGAGGAAAAGCAAAAAGCAGTTTCTTCAGCTATGGACAAATTGCATCGTGAGATGGAACAAGTAAGGCGAAAAACAGAAGAACAGCTTCATACTGTTCATCAGCAACAAATACATAAAATGATGGAAGATCATCATCAAGAAATTTCTGATACCAAAAAGAAACAATGGGTGAGAAAATATTTCAGTTTTAAATACACTATTAAATATCCTTCATGTCTGTACTTCCCAGCTGTACATGAATCTTTTATTGGTGGAACATATATTTCTATGACAACCATATTTGAATCCAAAGCTTTCTTAGAACAATTTGTTAATTGCTTTATTTCAATTTTTATCATTGTCATTTGGTAAAATCATAATGTTTTACAAAAACATAAAGAATAATCATTTTTACTCATCATTATTTGTTTGTTAACTCTCAACACAACGTACTGCATTTTGCAGCATACATTAATTTTAATTGGGACCTTAGCATTGGAATTAATTTATTTTATTGACTGTAAGCAAAGGGAAACTCAAAAATTATTATATCTTATTTTAATTAAATTTCTTATGACTGCTGTTATATATATATCGTAAAGTCTTTGCAAATCCGCACTTAAAATGTAAATTTTAATATTGGCGGTAGACTATCACACAGCTTTAGCCAATGATTTCACTTTATTCTATTACTATAGATGCATTTCGGTCCTTTTCTAAAAAAGGTCCCTCTTCAGTACTATAAAATACAAAAGTTTACATAAACTTTTTTTGCAAGTAAATATTTAACATAACAATAAATATTTTAGTATTACAATACCATTTGAGTACACAGTTTTATTTATACATCCCNCCATGAAGTTTTGCAGTTATGAGTTAATAACAGGATAAATTATTTTTATTTAATAAAACATTTTACTTTTATGTAGAGAAGACATCCCATAATTCTTTCTTATTTTAATTTGATTAATTCATTGATAATAAAAATTATATAACTGTTAATTAGAAAAAGTAATTAGTTAAAAAGTTGGAGAGTAATAGTGTATGTGTGGAGTAAGTCAAGTGATGTTTTAGTTTGTTAATGTGCCATACCATGAAGGATGTGATAGTCAGGGAAAGTCAAGAAATTTAAAACAAAAATTTGAGTAGTAACCCTGTACATATTTTTTAAACTTTAATTCCATTGGAGTAGAATTCTTTTATTTTGATATTTATCAAGTAATTTTGTAAAAGAATGGAAAATAATGTCACAATAAATAATTGGTCATTATCATCACAATACCAGGCTGCTATTTTTAATCATATTTCTAATTAACTTAATTTAAATTATATGTTTTCCACTTCAAATTTGTAGTGTCTTGCCCCTGTACATCATACTTTTCTTATTAGCAATAGAGTTGTGCCAGTCATTTACATCAGGAAAAAATTTTTGAATTGAAATAAAGTGACTTACAGAAGTTCATATATTCTAAAGGTAAAAGTGAAGAGAATTCTAAATTTTAGAATTCTCTTCACTTGCAGCATGGCCAGTGGCTCAGTGGGGACGTGCTGGTTTTATAATCATAATGTTGGTGAATCTTGATGGTATCAATGTTGTTTTTTCCTAAAACTATAATTTTCACTTTATGATTGGCATTTTAAAATTTGTTATACTGTTGGAGAAAAAAACTGATTTATTTTTACAAAACTACAAATTTACAACAAACAGTAGTAAAATAATAAATTCCATCTGTTTCAAGTAACAAGTGATATCTAACAATATTTATTTAAAAGAAAACATTTTCTATATATGCGTGTACAGATCTTACTTATTCTGGCAACAAAACCTTTGTTTAACCTAAATGTATCTAATTGCATCTTTGTTTGCTAGAGAACAAAAGGACGACTTTGATATCTTGTGCTAACATTAATAGCATAGAAATGTGTTCTGCAGATGAATAATTGCATGACAGTATTATAGATTTACATATTGTGAAAGCATCCTTCCAAATTAAGACCTAATTGCAGCTGATGGTTCTTGATCAATTTCAGAAATTGCAAAGGCAGTAGGAAAAAAAACATTAAGTGCTCTGATATTTTTTAATGTGATACAATATGAGTGATTCCCTCCAAATTAGTTGATGATGGAGAAGTTTTTTAAACATCAATCAAGTTTGTGTTTCCAGTGAATAGTATGTAAATCTTATTATAAAAATTTACATTTATTCAATGCGCACGTTACAGAAATGTTTATTGTTTCACATGCTTCTACAAAAATTATCATCCACAAAATTGTGCCCCTGGAAAGCAGAATTAATAATGTTGTTATTAATAAAATTAGCTTTTAATAATAATTTTGTTTATATCTAATCCTCTTCCCAAATAAATTATAAATAAATGTTAGTACAGATCCTATATGTACATGAATATTTGAAAATAATTTTTAAATAAATATAATAAATTTAAAAATACCAGGAGAAACAGTTGATTGGCGACACAATGCCAGCTGTTTACAATTGTCCAAATTGGCCATAACTAAGCTGGGTGGGTAATTTTGAATTGTGAATATACTGATATTTTGAATAATGTATAATGAGTTTTTAATCAGACATTTCAAATGCATAATTTGAAACATACTGTATAATTATAAACAATTATAAACATACTGTATATATCAGTTTATATAAACAGAACCAGCAATTGTCAAAAATAATTATTAGTTTACATTTCTCATGGATGATCTTCACATGTAATTTTCAACAAAATCTGAAAATTAAATTATACATTACATTGAAAATATAATATAAATGAATATATTATTTGCACAAAATTTTCTCAAACTGTAGCTGTAATATCAATAATATTTATACTAGTCTTTTTTATGTAGTAAGCTTTGTTGGTTCAGATTTGTGCATGGCCAACAGACTGGAACAGTTGAATGGTTGAAACCTACTGTATTGATCAGTCTATCGCTCAAGGGTCTGGGACAAAAAGCAGAAAATTAACCCCAGGAATTTTTCATGGGCAGTCTTTCCCAGATATGATGCTTGTCCCTCATTATGTGACCATTCTCACATTGCATGATAAATATGATTAAAAAGACCTACTTAGTGCCTTTTGACTCTTTACCCTCTTAAAGGGCAGAGAATTAAAAGATGGAAAAGAATATTGGCTAGCTACATCGAGTTTCCCAATCTCACATGTCACATTCAAGTAGGGGCGGTAAAAATGTCCTCCAAGAATCAATTTCACTGGCAGATTTTCGTCTTTTTAACACATTAAACCAAACCTTTCAGATAAATTCAGTTGACCCTGGGAGGTTCGTAATGAGCAGATTGAGAATTTGGATCTAGATTTTGATTTATTGTCAGAAAAGCATGTTATATAGAAAATAATTATTACCTTATTTTTTTATTGTAAACTGTATGCAGCTAATAATGCTGCTAATACATACATGATATAATCTGTATTAAATTCTTTTTATGTTGAAATGTGGTTCGTATTTGTTTTCATTGCAAATACAGATTAAGTATTTTTAAGGATATGTAAGATTCAGTAACTTATATGTTAATTAAAAAACAATTATTTTAAACTAAATATAATAATTCTGGAAAAATTCAAAAAATTTGGGAAACGGAAGAAATACCTGATGAGTGGAAATGTGCACTAATCCATCCACTACACAAGAAAGGAGACAAAACAGATACAAATAACTATCGTGGAATATCACTTCTCCCAGTAACGTACAAAATTCTATCAGATGTAATAAGAACCAGGCTAGAAAAGCAAGTTGACGCTCACATAGGGGAATATCAGGGAGGTTTCCGTAAAGGAAGGTCATGCATGGAACAAATCTTCAACCTGAAATCTATAATTAGGCATTATACCAGGACAAAATGCAACTATGTTGTCACTTTTGTTGATTTTAAAAAAGCATATGATTCCATTGATAGACCAACCTTGTTCGCTACACTTAATGAATTTGGTGTAGATGATAAGCTGATAAATTTAATTAAACAGTCCCTTACAAATACTAAATCTAAAGTAAAATTTCTTGGAGAAATTTCTGAGCCATTCGAAATCAAAACTGGAGTTCGGCAAGGAGATGGTCTCTCACCCATACTCTTTAACTGTGTGCTAGAAAAGATCATTCGAGAATGGGAAAAAGCATTACAAGAAGCTGGGATAAATAATCAAATTAAATTAGGAACCAAACACAAAGGAGTAAAAATCAACGGCTTGGCTTTTGCAGATGATTTCGCGGCCTTGGCTAAGGATGTGAACTCAGCCATCACCCAAATTAACCTCCTAGGAAAAATTGCGAAGAAAGCAGGTTTACAAATCTCTACGTCCAAAACAGAGTACATAACAAATATTTCAGGTGCCCCAAAATCACTAAAAACGGATTTTGGAGAAATTAACAAAGTATCAAAATTTAAATATCTTGGAGAAATTATTGAAACAAATGGGTTGTCTAAAGCAGCAAATTGTGCCAGGACACGGAAGTTGGAAATTGCCTATCAACTTTCCAAAGACATTTACAACAAAAAATCAATCTCCATTAATGCAAAAATTAGACATTATAACGCAGTGATAAAACCGCAAGCACTTTATGCAGCAGAAGGTATTGCTACTCTTAAAATGGGAGAAATAGAAAATATGGAGAAAAAAGAGAGGAAGATCCTTCGGAAAATTCTGGGGCCAAAAATAGATGAACATGGTAACTACGTGCTAAGGAGCAATAAAGAGCTTTATCAAAAAATCCCAAGACTCTCGGATACAATTCGGAGAAGGCGAGTAAGCTTCTTTGGGCATATAAAGAGAATGGGGGAAAATAGGCTAACGAAACAAATTTTTATGTATTTCAACAACCTAAAGAATAAGAATCAATGGATCAATGACACTCAAAAAGACATGGCAGAAATGGGCATATTGGAAGAAGATATCCAGAACAGGGAAAGGTTTAGAAACAAAATAAAGAACTTCAAGGGTTTTCAGGAAAAGGAAAATAACAGACGTGGAAGACTCTTCACTCAGGAGCAAAGACAACAGCAGAGCGAGAGAATGAAGAGGTATTGGAAAGAAAGGAAGAAGAACAAAGGGAAGGGAAGAGGGAAAAGCAAGTCATAATTAGTTGTTTGTACGTGGTCCAAAGATGGCCGGAATCGACACAAGAAGAAGAA